TATATATATGGTGGGTGTAAAATATATATCAAATTCTATAATGCTATAAAGGAAGTTTTAAGTGATGCAAGTAGCAGGAGATTAGATACGTGCTGTTAGGATATTCCACAGAAAACATATATTTTGAAAACAAGTTATAATAACATAAATAACATAATCAGTTACGCTTATTAGCTTGAAGGATGAGGACTGACACTTATATTTAAAGTAGAAATGCCTTTGAAAAATAATAAATGTAACAGTTCACTGAGCAATCTATACAATTATAAATACATACATTACATTGCAGTCTTATTTCTATAATGGTGTTCATTAGTTTATTTTCTTGCTTGATACTTAACATAATTTCTATGATCATATGTGAAAACATCTTAAAGAAAAAATATATATAAGATTTGTAAACAATTTAGAATGTCACATAACATGGATTCTTATTAAATTATTATTTTTTCTTAATGAGCAAAGGTTTTTGCTAAAACCGATAATTTTAAGAATTTGAATGCTGCAGGCATTGTGGGAAATATGTATGCTTTATATCACATTCTGCAATTACATTTAAAGGTGAAGGAAACCACACACACACAAACACGCATAGATACACCTTCACACACACACACACACACACACACACACACACACACACACACACACACACACACACACACACACACACACACACACACACACACACACACACACACACTGCATATATACACCCAAAAGCACACACCCACACATACACACACGCTCGCACACTCAAGCACAAACATCAGCATTTACAGTTCAGCTTCCCAATTAGTCTGAATTAGCCACCGGCCTTAATATAACGATAGCAATTCTAACATTAAGATGACAAATAATTAAAGTTTTTATTCTTTTTTTTTATTTTATTTTTTTTTTTTTTGACGCGTTGGTTGAATATCCTACATTAAAGGAAAGGAATAACGATGATAATGGTAATGATAATAATAGAAGTGAAAGAGAGGAACCCAAGGACTAGATAGTGTTATATACATATTTTGATACGCATGAGAGCTTCTTTGCATAATACCAGAACAAAATATAAAGAAAACATAAAGAATCAAGAAATAGAGTTTGTTCATTTTGTGCATTTGCTTTCATTTTTGTACAGTACGTGCAAACTATACAACATACTGAGGCAAAATTAATAGACATAACAAGAAAATACAGTTACAATTACTACAAATGAATTGATGAACAAGTGAACAAAATTATTGGACGTTTTAGCTAAGCATTGTGGCCCTTGGTGTTTTGTTTCTGCTTATATGAAATTGATATGGATACATATATACATATATATAATACATATACAAAGTAGCATGTGTCAAAAGACTCCCCCTCCCCCCCACACTTCCCCTAAGTGCGCCCCCCCCGCCCCCCCCCAGCCTTATGCAAATGGCTATTCGCTTTTTTCAGAAATTTTAATGATCAATCTTCTTTGTTTATTTCTTTCTCTTTCGATCAGTATTGGGAAATTAAGATATCTTAAAACAAACGAAATTTGAAACGATTTCATTTTTTTTTTCTCTCTACATCCCCCTCTCCCCCTATTTATTTTATCTGCTTTAGTTATCTCATCCGTATGGTTAATTTTACCTTTCGTATGGTCAACAGAGCCAAAAATAGTTTTAAAAATTCGTAAAAAAATGTCTTTAAAAAAATCATAAATAACCCCAAAAATATATACATATATACATAAATAGACATATATTGCTGTTGTAGTTAACGAAAAACGCTACCGTTGTCACCTTAACTAAACCACGTTGTATAAAAGGAACCTTTAAGATTAACTAACAACTTTTGCTAACTTCCCTAAACGACCATTCCAGCTTTTATTTCGACTATTTGGACGTGTCCTTTAGCTCTGATTTCTTCTTTGCTTTTATTTATTGTTCCACATCGTCTTCCCGCTCTTTTTGGATAGCTGAGAGCGAAAGAATAATAGGTATAGCGATAGATAAACAATTGAAAGTGAAATACACTCCTGCGTGTCCACACTTGATGGATATTGTGAACGCGTGGAGAAGGAGCACAAGTTTTTTTGTTTTTTATATTCTTTTTCAGTTCTTCTCTTCTTTCCCTCGTATTTATTTATTTCCCGTTCTCTTTCACCTTTTGCCTTTTTTTCGGTCTTTCATTTGTTTTCTCTTTTTTTCCTGTCTTATCCTTTCCACTGTTATTTGTGTGTTTGTTTCCGTTTGTTGCCTTTTATCAGTAATTCGTAACTCGATTTTCCTTTTCAAAATCTTTTTATATATTTCTTCTTCTTTTTTTCGGTTCATTTTTTTTCGATAGTTTTGTTTTCTCTTTCAGTTTATTTTTAATCATATCAGATTGATTTTTCCATGTGGATATTCTTTTCAAATCCTTTTTTTCTTAATCCCTTATCTAATATTTTTTTCTTCGTTCTGGAACTGAGTTATCTTTCTTTTTTATTATTTTCAATCTACATATCTTCATTCTCTATCCAAAACAAAAATATGTATCTAAAAGCATCCTTTATTAACAGGCAACCCAGTTTTATTTATCTATTTCTTCAAGTGATCTCCTTTTCTCTGTAAATTGATAATTAGCAAGTAATATTTATACTGCCTAACATCGCGCTTTTCTGTTAACAAGATCACAGTTTTAGGTCTCTTTAGTATAAATGAATTGAATGCTTAAAATTTTAGCGAAGTATTGAATAGTCTGCATCACATTTTTATACATTTTTTTTTTTTTTTTTTTTTGCAATATAGGGTGATATAATGTAGTGTCTATTATAGAGAGATCCATTGCCGACAAAAGTGAATAAATACACAAACAATTCACTTTTTTTTTCTTTTTTTTTAAATAGTCTTACTTTTTATATCGCTTTGAAGGTTTGAAAGGTAAACACCTTGACAATAGGAAATAATAACAAAGTATATATATATATATAAATAAAATAAAATCGTTAATAGTTAGTGAAGAATTCTATCGACCAGATTTTTAGGGCATGAAACTTATTCATGAGAAAGCCTACAGGCAGCTTCTTGATTGTAAACATTGACGTAATAAAGACGACTGTCATTTGTTTTCCATTTACAAATCCTCTTTCCCTTCCTCTTGCCTCCCTTTTGTTTTCTCTCTTATTTACACCCTTCGTTTATTCTTCCCCAATTTTTTTTTTTTTATACATCTCCCCCTTTTAATCTCCCTCCCTTGTGTCTTTGATCTCGCTTCTTTTTCTTCTCGCTTGCTCCTTTGTTTTATCTTCCGTTCCCTGTTCTCTGTCTCTTTTCACACGTCCTGATTTTGTCCCCTCTCTTCCTCCCTCTTATTTTGATCTTCTATACTCCCACTTGTCTGTTTTTCATGACTTTCTTCCTTCCTCCCATCTCTTCCTATTCGTTGATCCTTATCCCACCTCACCTATTCGTGATAAAATATAATAAAAATGTATAGTACACTCTCCTATCATACTACAAGATAATCTCCTTGGTATGTATTTGATGTATGTTCTAACCAGACCTATTTGTGTTCTTTAAAAAGTATATATATAATAAGAAGAATTCTAAAAAAATATATATGTACAAATTAGTCTCCAATGACGTCACTGTTTCATGTATAAAAATGTAAATAATGTGAATGGATATAAACTCACTTGAACTTCTTGGTTTTACTTCCCTTGTTTGTGCGCGGGTGCTTTCTAACAGACGGGATGTGGATATGAAAAAAAGGTATAAATAAAATGATGCCGAAAAAAGGAAAGAAAAAAATAATAAAGGGAAGAGAGAGGGAGAAAAGACGAGACTTTGAGAGAGGTGCAAAGAGAATGGGGGAGGGGATGAGATGAAGAGATAAACAACAAAAAAAGGGGGGGGAGGAAGTGAGTGGGGTATGGCTGAGTGATAATGAAAGAGAGAGAGAGAGAGGGTCAGTGAGAGAGAGTGAGGGTCAGTGAGAGAGAGAGAGAGGGTCAATGAGAGAGAGGGAGCGAGAGAGGGTCAATGAGAGAGAGAGAGAGGGTCAGTGAGAGAGAGAGAGAGACAAAGAGAGGGAGGGAGGGAGAGGGAGAGAGAGAGAGAGAGAATCAGGAATCAGGCAGGGAAAAGGATGGGTGAAAAGAGAAAGACAGATCGACCGGGATCTAAAATACTCAGACCCGTTATGCGCCGCTCTCCAAATCACGACAACTCACGACATATATCTATGCCACGAACTGTACATGGACATAGAAATTTACATTTTTTCCCCCAAAGGCATCCCTGTGGAAAGTAATATGACAGCGTACATCAAAGTCTTCCTAAGTCCCCTCGCCAATAAACCTTTC